AAATGAGGTGAGCACTCACAGGCACAGGGTGAGCCTAAAGGTGTTGTTCTCATCCCAGTGTGTGGATAAGCTGCGGGAATCCTTCTCACTGGGAACTCTGAGTACTTGAAGTTTGTATAGGTTCAGGGAGGGAATGAGGATGTTCATGGAAGAGGATTTCACCTGGATGATTGACTGGGAAGACATTGCCCAGTACATCCCTGAACCACAAAGAGCTGGATGGGAGATTATCTGGATATGAATTGCTGTATCCCTGCTCAACTCCTCCATTAATCTTGATGCTCTCCTGGGGGTGGTGAACAAGCCCAGCATCAGGGAGAAGTGCTCAGCATTTGCAGGATAGAGCTCAGAGCTGAAAATGCCTCAAGTCTGGGCTAGTTACCTCTGGGGATCTGCTTCAGGAAATCCCAGCGTTGAGTTCTGTGAATGGACAGAAGAAGTGTTTGCAAATACCCAGAGCCTTTATGTGATAAATATTACCTCAAATTAGCTGGCCAGATTAAAGAAGACATAGACAGATCGCCAATATTACCTCTGAACGTAGCAGGCAGAGCTGGAATCATTAAAATAAATGTCCTCCCAAGATTCCAGCTTTATTTATTATTATCATTATCAGTATTATTACAGTGTCTAAATGTATCCTGGGCTCCAGGGTACCACAGAGAATGATAACCTTGCCAAAATGGCCATCCATACTGCTGGCTGGGAACAGAGAGGAGGCTGCAGAGCTCCCCTAATGCCAGGGCTAAAATAAGCACTGCTGTCCCCAGGTGGATGTGAGTCACAGGTTGTACCTGCCGGTATTCCAAGCACAATCCAATGGGACCTGCAGTGTCCTCCACTTCAGGGGGATGTCCTGGTGTGCATTGATTTCTAACTCACAACCTCTTAGTGCAAGGAAGAAATAAAGGCTGTACAGTCTGGAGTGCCTTATGGCCTGGACATAAAGGCATCTAAGTCCAGACTAAAGATGTGCCCACTCTCTGTGCTGTCAGAGGTGAAGGCAGAATCAAAGGGAAGGTGTAGTGTGGGGAGCCTCAGGACTCCCATCCCTCTTCTCCTCAGCACAGAGCGAGGCAGGTGCTGCAGAAAAAGATGCCTTCCAATTTAATTCTAAGAATGTTGTGTCAATCACCCAAATGCTAAGCTGTATGTAATGATTTCCCTACGAAAAAACCTATCCTTTCTAATGTGTACTTGTGTACCTACTTGATAATATGCATTTCTATTGATCTACATACATAATTATGTTGGTATAAACCTCTTAAACATACGCCTGCAGTCTTATTAAAACAAAGGAACTGACTTGAAAACGGAGCTAATTCAACCTGGAACCTGTGGAGAGGAAAAGAACTGAGTCCCCCCTCCCAGAACTTTAATTGAGCTTCAAATATCAAAAATTCCCTGAAATATTAAAAGCTGGGTAGCAAAAGTGTGGCAAAACGTGAAGAACTGTTTTACACCAGATTACTTGTTCATTTTTTTTTCCAGGAAGCACTGGCTGATATTAAAGTACAACTGACGGTGTCTGCAAAATACTGCAAAGCTTTCTCCTTAATCCCTGAGCTTCTTCTGGATCATCCATCTTCTGCAGTGCTCCTGCTTTATTAACAAGACTGTCACAGTTACAGGCCTGGCTGCAGACTTCCTCAGGGTCTTTCTGAGCACATCCCTCCCAGTAAACACGGGAGGTTTCTCTCCCTGAGGTGCCACTACTTGGTTCTCCATCCCCCACTTCTACAGTGCCTCTGGATTTTGCCATCCTTGCCCATTTAGCATAGGAATTAGGCACTGAATGAGAAGAAAAGGAGGCTGAATGAGTAGGAAGGTCTAAGCATGTGTCTGATGGTCAACCCCACCAGTTACTTGGATCTGTTGAGCTAACCCTGCAGTGCTGCCCTCCAAAGGCTTGGTTTTGGTCTGTCTTTCTTAGCCATCTTTCTACCTCACCCTGAATCTGATGGTTTTTAAAGATAGCCACCACCTTAGCCCTAGTTGCTGCTAGGTCCAGGCACCCGGCAAGCTGAGCAGGGCTAAGTCTAGACATCAAAGTGAATGGTCCTTTCATCATCTCTTGGACACCTGCAGAGAAAGGGCTTCTTGGGTTCATGGCTGGCTTCCTAGGCGAAACTGCAAACAGTCCTTACTGAGCCATGCAGTGTGTGCATCCAGCCACCATGACAGCCTTCTCTTCTCCAGGCTGAACCAGCCCAGCTCTCTCGGCTGCTACCCTTGCAGCATCTCCATGGCCTCCTCTGGACTCATTTTCAGAGTCCAAGGTGGGATCAAAGTAGCACGAATACAAAACACCCCTTAACCAACATGATGAGATCATCCCTCCCACAAGATGAAAGCTCAGTAGTAGTCAGGGAAGAAACTTCCTAGTGATGACCTCCAACGGATCCAATATTTATTCCCCTTCCACGGTTCTCTGCTCACCATTCAGAAAGATGATCTTTCTCAATGCCAACTCATCGAGCTCTAGCCCTGATCGGAGGAGAATTCAGTCTGGCTCTTGCCTCTGTGCTGGCAATAACAATTCTTCACATGGAAATTAGCCGACAGATTTGATGATGATGCACGAGCCAGAAGAGAATACAGCTCGCTCTGCCATCGCTCTGCGGCCTCCTCCGGGAAAACAGGAGTAAAAATCCATTTGTGTTTGCAAACAAGATATGTCTTGAATGTTCACTGGGGACCTCTCGAGCAAGGAGGTGCCAATTTTGCTGTCGTTTTTCTAGACATCACACACAACCTGCAGCCCAAGCGCACGAGGCATTTTCTTCTCCAATAAAGACCTTTTGCCCTTGTGTCCTCTACTGAGAGTGCTTCAATTCCTGGAGGAATTTGTGTCCTTCCTAATGTGGTTACTAATCCGGGGAGCTCTCATGCAGAAAAGGAGAAAGGGAGCCCACAGGTCGTGCAGTTGCCTTCTCTTTCATTCAAGGCTGCAGAGAAGCACAACTGCTTGGCAGCCACACTGCTGTAGCTACTGGGTCTTCATCAAATCCACCAGGACCATAAGGTCAACAAGGATTTCACAACAAGACAGGAGGGAAAACTAAGGCCTCTAAAGACATATGTTCCAGTAGAGCCAGTGACATTTAGGACTTGGGCAGCTCTGAGAATGTATTCCCAGCTCCTTGCAAAGTGAGCTCCCCTTAATGCACTTCAGATGCAGAGTTTATCCAGAATTTACCCAGGAACTGAGTTTCACTGATGAACTGAAGGCTTCTTGACAATCTCTTGTCTTTCTCCCCTCCCCAAGCTTGTGATTGTGAAAAGGTACCTAGCGGCCAGGACAGACATTGCGGATTAGAGGCAGAAAGCTATTAGTGCTCTCCATTTCTAATTAAGGAGTAAAAATCTATAGCAAATTAGCCATCTAAATAGGAGGCAGCACCATAAACACCTTTGTAGTCCTTGGGCTAAATCCTTTTGCTCCTCCTGTAAACGACTGTTACCCTGAGCTCCACAGTTATCTCTACAAGTGGATCTAATGTGAGAAAGCTTCATCAAATTCAAACAAGGAGTATAATGTTAGAGAGCAAATTAATGAGAAGCCTAATTTAAGACCATGGATACTAACTCAAAGGCAAATTTAGCCTGAGTATCTGAAAACACTGTGTAACAGTGTCCCTGTGAAAGCAGGGATGTGTCTGAGAAAGAAGGCAAAAGAGCATTTAAAACTAGACTGGAGGAAACAGCCTGGTGCTGAGGGAGAAGCCCATGGTGAGAGGGGAGGACAGGATGGGTAAATGCAGCTTTTTGTCCTCGATGAAGGGGGAAAGCCTGCCTGAGTTTACAGTGACAAAGAGAATGGTGCTGCAAATCTCTTCTCATTTAAATTAGCAGGTCATCCTGGGAGACACGGGGAGGAGGAGGAGGGAGCGGAGGAGATCTGCTTGAAATGACTAAAAGAAAAACAAGGACATCTCAAAGGATGGAGGGAATTGCTTGGAAAATGCAGTTCACTTACACATGCCAGCTTAGCATAAAAAGGCACTAAAATGTGCAAGTCCCTGAACACAATACAGTGAATACAGCGAGTAAGAGACGTGGTCACAGGGAGTTTGTATCCAGGTGCTGGCTTAGTAATTGGGTCAGTGTCTGCACATTCCTGAGTACAGGTGTCCCGTAGGGAAGCAGCAGAGCATGCTCATAACCTCCCCTGTATCTCATGAATCCATCATCCATCCCCAGATAGCTTAATTCATTTAGAAGGGGGCTAAAAGAATCATTTGTTTCTAAACCCTAAATGAGGCAACAAATGTGACAGTGAAAGAGAGGGGAGGCTGGCTGGTGTCCTTGCTCAGCTCTTCGCTTTCCCTTGCTGAGCCAGAAGAGGTAGATTAAATCAGGAAACTGTTGTTGCAGGCTTGCATCCCCACATTTTCCCCTTGTCATAGCTGTTCTGCTCTGTTCTCCAGAGGATCCTGCGGGCTGTCTGCTGCTCGTTGCATGAGCAGCCCTTACAAAGGCTGAGAGCAGCACGCATTCTGCCTCCTGCCAGCGTCCTGTTCGCAGAGCCATTTGCTGTTAGATCCAGCAGATCTGAACATGCCCCATGGCATGGTAATAAGGCAGGAGGATTTGAGGAGGAGGGCTCTGGAAAGGCCTGGGGTGCCCACAGAAATTCTCCACAACCTTGCTGTCCTCCTCACTCTCTTCCACCAGCACCTTGCCTGACATGAGGTCGCAATGTTGGATGGGGCTTGGAGCAAGCTGCTCTAGTGGAAGGTGTCCCTGCCCGTGGCAGGGGTTGGAACTGGATGAGCTTTAAGGTCCCTTCCAACCCAAACCATTCCGTGATTCTATGACTAACATCTGCCACAGGTTCCTCTCTCCAAGGAGAGAAACTCTTGTACAGCCAGCAGCTTTATTAGGGGGTCCTCTTTTTAATGGTCAAGCTCCTTCACAGCAATAGGGGAGGAGGTGGGCAGAAGAAGGGATCCATCTGGCATTTGGAGAGGGACTCAGCAAGCTTCACAGAGGCCTTTATTGCTGTGGGATTTGCTGGCAGCCACAAACCAAACTCTAATATGGAGACACTTCCTCCTGTGGTTAAAATGATCATAAAGGACAAGTATGGAATACAAAGTCTGTAATACTACAGAGTCTCTGGGTAAGGTGATGCCCTGGGTTCAGCAGTAGCAGTCATGTTTCTCCTTCTTGGTAGCTGGTGCAGTGCAGTGTTTTGACTTTCAGCCTGGGAACAGAGCTGATAGCAATGTTTTGGTTTGGCCAAGGACTTTGTGAGCCTCATGCTCTGCCAGGGAGGAGGGGAAGCCGGGAGGAAGCAGAGACAGGACACCTGACCCAAACTGACCAAAAGGATATTCCATACCACAGCACGTCATGCCCAGGAGGTAACTGGGAGTTAGCCGGAAGGGCTGGGAGACTGCAGGGTTGGAGGAGGTATGGGTCAGTGCTTGGTCGGACTGGGGGGGGCGAGTCACCGGTTGGCTGGTGGTGAGGTGATGTATTCTCTTCCCTTGTTATTTCCTTTATCACTGCTATTATTGGTAGTAGCAACAGTGATCTGTGTTATACCTTAGTTACTAAACTGTTCTTATCTCAACCCATGGGAGTTGCATTCTTTCCTATTCTCCTCTCCGTCCCTCCGGGAGTAGGGGGAGAGAAAGAAGGGGGGGAGTGAGTGAACGAGTTACCTGACTGGGTTTAAACCACGACATGTGAAAACCCAAAGGAGAGACCTTGCAGCCAAGACCAGTCACTGTGATGGTCTACATTAGAAGAGGAACATACTGAGTCACATGAGTGGCTCAGAAGTGAAAGGGGCAACTGGTACCTCTCTGACCACAAGGTACCTCTCTGACCACAATGGATGTGAGCAGTGTTTCCCCAAAACATCATCCCAGGCTGCTGAAGTTGTCTCGTGTTATTTGCACGCACACTGAAATCACACAATTCAGTCTGAGGATCGGCAGACAGTGACTCCTGTAAATGTAAGAACATGAACAGGGGCTACTATTTGTCTTCAAAGCAATTTTGCTATTAGAGACAGAGAAGAAAACAAATCAAGCAAATTATATTTGTTTTAAAATGATCAATCTCCTCATCTACCTCATTTGGCTGGTTTCCATGCTGGTCCAGGGTGAGTGCCTCAAGTTCTCCATTGTTTCTAATGACCTGTTCAGACTGAGGTTAATTGTCCCACTCAGACAGCTTTCATTAGCCTCCTTATTTAAATAAAAAGCACTTGTGAGATTTAGAAATACGGAGATGAATCAAAAACAGACAACTGAAGAAGGTTCTTATTTAGCTGGTTCCCCCCTTGCTTTTCACTGGGTAATGGCTACAAGCGGGCAAGTGGATCTGAAGAAGATCCAGAGCAAACCCAAAGGTTTCCTTCTGGTTATGAAGTTAGCCGATAGCTGCACCTTCATCAGAAAGGCATTAAGTCCAAGCCCATTGTGTTCATGGCTTTTTCGGATCAAGCCTTGAGATCATCGTAAACCCTTTGTAAATACCTGAAAAATGTAATTTACAGTCCCTTATGAAGGTAGCTCCTCGAAGACCCGGAGCCACGGGGTGGATCACTGGAAGGTATGGGGAGAGGTGCTCAATAACTCATTCTCTTACAAGCTGGGAGAACATTTAAATCAGTAATAAACTCAGTGGCACCTCCAAGCAAGGCCAGTGGCTGGAAAGGCAAAACTCCCATCAATTTTCCTTGAAAGACCTGTTGGAGAAACTCAGCTTGGAATCAAAATCCCTCCTGAAGTGCCCTGAAACTTTTCACTCTCCCAAATTCCACCGCAGTGGGCAGGTTTATAACTTGCCTGTGATTTTTAAGGCCACTACAGGGGCTGGATTTTTCAAAACATATCCAGTTCTGTTCCCATTTTCTGTTTCTTATTCTAATGTCTGTAGTGAAAGCAGAAATTATGCCAAATGTTAATGCCCGAGACAGGGAAGCAATTTCAGACTGGTCACTCACAGGGCTCTTTGATGCATCTTTAAAATACCTTCCAGCTCAGCTTCTCAGGGGCTTACACACACTTGCATCTGGCAGACATTCTCCTACTTTAACGTATTCCCTCGCTGTTTTGGGTGATGTTGTACCGTATTTCTGGATGTCTGATGGTCCGCTGCCAGTGGCCTGGACAAGGTCCAGACATTCCCTTGTCACGCAGCTCCTGAATGCAGGCACTGAACCCACTGCCCTGCTCTCTGCATGGGAGATGCATCACATAGCTTCTGGCTGGGTGGAAGGTCTGCTTTGTGCTAGCCTGGTTTTGTTGCAAAGCTCAGGAACAGTCAGGTCATACCTGAAACCATCTCCATGGCTGTAGAAGAAGCCCAGGTACAAGCAGGGCTCTACCCTGTACCAAAATAAGCAGAGCAGATGCATGTCCCTATGAAAAGACTACTCCAGAAGTGTTTCTTTCAAGATCAAGCCCAGTTTCTCAGTGCAGGATTGGAATCATCCTCTCCCAGGAGGGCTGAGCACTTCCTCAGCACTGAAAGGGCAGCCCCCTATCATCTAATAGGCCATTTTCATCGCTGTGTGTGCATTTGACAGATCTGCTCAAATTACGGAGCCCTTTCTTTGTGAGAAAGAGTCTAACAATTGTGGATAATGGGAATTGTGCACACTTAAATCCCTGCTTATGCTAAAGGATTGCCCCAGGAAGGGAAAATGTCTGACCCACTTTCATTAGAGCCTTTTGAAAGACGATGCTGTGCCTCCTGCAGCCAGGAACTTTGCAGTGCCAGTAATGGGCAGTTTGTGCACAGTACGTGTAAGTAAACAGAGCGACATCTCATCTGCCGTGCTCCCGGTGCCACTGCCTGGAAACAGCACCCAGAAGCTGAGCATCGAGTTGGGAACTTCCTCGGACACAGCCATGCTCCAGAATGAAGGAGCTGTAAGGTCCTATGGACCCACTTGTATCTCAAGCACCACCTCAGAACTGAAGATGTTATTTAGCAGAGACTTTAGTTTCATGCTGTGAAAGGAGCAGGGTGGAAAAGACCAAAGATCTCCAGGAATCATCCCCTGCAAGCATTAAAAGTGCTCCTTAGAATGCAGAAGGGACAGAGCTCTTCTGGCTTCTGATTGCTTCGAGTTATGAATCTGGTCCTCTTTTTTTTCTGGCTATTTCTAGTAGCTGCAAGCAGGTAGCCAAGCCTGCATGGGGGTTATTTATGTGCAGGAAGAGAGGAAATACCACAGTGCTCTTGGAAAATGGGCCAATTCCGTGGTATTTTGTCTCTGAGCAGAGCAAGATGGCTCAGGGGAAGGTGTTAGTCAATTAAAGAGAATCTAATTGAAAACATACCATAAAATCCAACCCAGCATTTGCTCCTGCCTGCCCTTCCCCCAGAGAAAGGAGGCACTGCAAGAGGCAAGGATGCTTGTCCTGCTGCCACAGAGGGAGTATTTCCTCAGTCCTCATCATTACCAGAATCCTTTGTGCTCATTTCTGAGTGTGAAAAGCCAGGCTAAAAAGAACCTCCTCCTTTGCAACCTGTAACAACTGGTAATATCCCCTCAGCTTCTCTGTGCTCCTCACTGAGGCTTTTAGTATCTCTTGTAACCAGATGGCACCAGGCTGGCATTTGTCTGGTTAAAATGGATACTGCAAGCAGCATCGAAAGGCACATTGTTTGGGACCATCATTATTTGCATTTCTGGCTTGGCCAGGGCCCAGCTGGGACCTTTCCCACACAGGCACCTTGGCCATGGAGGTACCCACCCTCAGGGATCAACCTGAGATGTGATGATGAAGGGGAGGTGCCTGAAGCCTTCCAGATCATGGCAAAACTTGCTCTGCTTCTCTTTCCCAGGTTGATCTGGCTCCCCAAGCCCCCTGAAATGGGGCAGCATCCACCAAAGGGAGCACATGGTGGTCATGTGGAGGGGATGCTCCTGGAGAGGCACCAGGCTGAGGCATCAGGGTGCAGGTCCAGGCACCAGGCTGCAGACAACCGGAACAGGGGGTAGATGCAAAAGCTAAAGCTGGGGGGGGGGGGGGGGGGGGGGGATAAGATAACTTAATATCTGAGAGGTAAGTGTTGGTAATTAGTCTGCAACACTTTGATCATTAATGCATGCAATCAAATTATCATCAGGAATGCTTCCCCACCAGCCCCCCCCCCCCCCCGTTTCTTTCTTTATTTTAAGGGCTGGCACACGGCAAAACTGACAGCAACAGCCACCCCCCCCACCGTGCAGCCACGAGGCTTCCAAAGGAAGCTGCTGCTCCCTAGTGTTTGAAGGATTCAGAGCTGGAGCCAAAAACGCAGGCAAGAAAGAGCGAGTCCCCAAAGACAGGAGAAGCAAAAAACTAATGGGCCCAGGCAGTTGTATATCCCGAGCAGCAGTTCTTTGTTATCTGCTTGGCTATTGATTGCAATCCCCATGGATACAGCTCAGGTTTTCCTGCTTTGAGTTCTTAAGTGAAATTAAAAGCATGCGGTTGATTACTCAGTGCTCTCTCCTCTGCCTCTGATCTCCTGGCCAGGCTCCAGACACTGCTGGCCAACTACACCCCTGGGAATAACCTGCCTGCCTTTTATTCTCCCTTTCACATTTCTACATACTCTGCATCTTCAGGAAGGAGGAGGAAGGGACCACACCAGGCACTCGCTGAACTCCACCTTTCAGCAGTGTCATCAATAGGAATTGATGAGTGTTCCTGCTCTCCAGCTTGTTGGGAAACCTCCACGGGTACAGATTGGATATATACATTTGTGTGCCCATGTGAACGTGCATGTGTCAGGGTAGCAGCTCTGCAGTGCTCAGGTTCAGGCAGAAAGGGTTGGAGGACTTTGGTAACAATTTTTGGTGGTTAAATGACATTTCACCAAAATTACCTATTTTTTTTTTATTATTTTTATTTTTAATGGAAATTCACCAGCTTTGGCACTGGGAATTTGTAAGGCAGGGAAAGATGATGTTAAGGGTTATGCAAGACTTCCAAAGGAAATGTGTCTTGTGTCCATGATTGGGCTTTCCAGCAAAACCAGAAAGTGCAAATGCCCAATTTGCTATCAACCAAGCAGTGGCTGCTACCCCAAACCTTCTTCTTGGGAAGCCATGGGAAAAGTGAGAAGCAGGAGGTCAGGAGCACAATGCAATTTCCCAGAGTCACAGCCAATCTTCCCCTGGACCCAGCCACCTAAAACTCAGGTCATGCTGCGTCTCGCCAGCACTGTTGGTGATAGGATCTCCTTTGACAGCCATATCTTAAAGGAAGGGCAAACGAATGCATTAAGATCTCTGTGGATATTTTATCCAGCCATCTATGAGGCTCTTCCAAATTGTATTTTGTCTGTAGAGTTTAACATCAAAGACATGGAAAGTCAGTGAGCTGACTCCCTCTTTACTCCTAGAACGAGAGGTCAACTAAATGCCTGATTACACAGAGCAAATCTATACACACACTGGTGATAGGTGTAATAACAATAGGTAAGTGACAGGAAGCACTGGTGAAGGCTGTCCTGAAATTCAGGCCACTTATCTGGGCTTTCAGCAGGGCCCAAAGCAGGACCTACATTTCCCAGTTTTGGCAAGCCTGGAATACTTCATTACATAATTGGCCTGTAACTCTAATGATGATAGTGGAGCTGCTCCAGATTTATACTAATGTAACTGACGGCAGATTTTTGGCTTGGAGTCTGTAAGAAAGAGCTTGCCATAAATTCAGTGTTCACTGTCCTCTGTAGCTTCTCCTTTTTTCCTCTCTTCACAGATTAATTCCTTTCTGTAGTATGTTCTTATGGTTCCTGAGTTTGCTTCTGTTCAGCTGACCCATTTAAGGTAGGTGAGCAGGAGTAGGGAACATATTCATCCCATATATAACAATGGAGCTGTTACATGTGCACTGTTCCCAGAATAGCTCCCCCCGAAAACTACTCCTCTCAGCTTGTTTTATGGGCTTTCACTAGAGAGGCTAAAATTGACTCAGGTTTGAAGAACATCTATTTAAGTATATTTTAACTGGTGAATGCTTAAAAGAGGGGATTTCTGAGCGTGAGCCTGGGGATCTTTTAGTTTAACATTCCATTTAATGGTGTCATTGGCATTTCACGTGAGGGTGTGCTCGTGGTGTATCCGTGTGTGTATGTTTGTATCGAGAGAGAGATAACTCATGTGGAATGAAAATCCATTTAGCAGAAAAACGAGATCTCTCGAGTGTTTGTATTTTCTGCTGGAACTCAAAACCACTGGTACTATCCAAGAGAAAAGAAGCCACTGAATGATCTAAACCAATAAGGTATGATTTTATGCCAAGATGTGAGAATGGATCTATATCTTTATCAGGTTTCTCTCACTCAAGAGATGAAAATCACATGGAAGCTTGTTAGAAATGCACTTTATACAGTATATCTTTCAGAAATACGTTGTAATGATGCCTGACAGTTTTAAAAGTGAATTACACGCTTGGGGGTAGTTTCTGCCCCCTCCCATGTATAAATACATACCACAGCCCAGCCAGGCCCATTTACATGTGTGCAACGGTTTTAACCTGCCAGAGACTGAGATAAGCTCTTAGGCAGAAGTTCTTCCCTGTGACGGTGCTGAGGCGCTGGCTCAGGGTGCCCAGAGAAGCTGTGGCTGCCCCATTCCAGGCAGTGGACGAGGTCAGGTTGGACACAGGGGCTTGGAGCAACCTGCTCTAGTGGAAGGTGTCCCTGCCCATGACAGGGGATTGGACCTGGATGAGCTTTAAGGATCTTTCCAACCCAAACCATTCTGTGATTCTATGGTTCTATGAGATAGGCAGCAAAGAGAATCACAGAGGCATGCCAGCAGGTTGCTTCCAGGCCCCTGTGCAAGTATAAGATGCAGCAACAGGGTTACTCAGACTTTCCCCTGATGCAGAGCAGGTTGCTGGGAGCTTTGCATTGGGCTGTTTTAAACTGAGGCTTGAAAATTCCACGAACAGACTGCTGAACTGGTGGGAGAATGAACACTACAGAGGGGCTGCTTTTGTCCAAGTGGCATGTCCCACTGTCAAGTGCACATTATTAGCCAGTCCTCCTCTGGATGCAGGGATCCACTGTATTCAACAGGGAGGGGAAAAATACACAGGGTACCTTTTGCTAGGTAACATATACTCCTGTTATACTCAATACCAGAGAAGCTGCAACCTCTGCCTCTTGATTTCCTTCCTCCTTCTACTCCCTCTCACTTTCTGTGTCTTGGGTGGATATGTTTGCTGTTATAAAGTCTATTGAAACATAAACATATACTTTAAAAATAGCATTTCACTCTGACAATACTCATGGAGAGAGCTGAGAATATTATGGTAGAGATAATGTACTTCCAGACAATAAGAGAAGACAGGAGCGGGAAGCTTATCTCCTAGAACCCCTATTGCCTATTTAAACAATAATCCCCTCCAAAATGATGGTTTTCTGTGTACATTTAAAATGCATGATATTCAGCATGTTCATGTGGCTTTTAATAGCCTGGATAATTTCCCATACAATTAATTCCCTGAATATATTCTGGTTTGCTCCTGCAATTTGTAATGTGGGTTGTTCCTGGATGGATCCATGCTAAGCCCTTCCGGAGCAGGGGATGGCCACCGCCTGCTCCAGATGGGTGGGTGGCTCTGCAGAGCCTTATGTGACTACTGTTTCCTTTCTGAAGACAGACTGTTCAGGTTTTATTTCTATTCCCTGCTTTGACTTCTCCCATAGTGGAATCACAAGGATTTGGCTCTGAAAGCAACGTTACACCCAGAAAGGGATGAGTGTAGAAAGAAAGGGAAGAAAGGGCTGAGTGATGGGAGGCAAAGGAGATGCCCTGCATTGCAGAGTTGTGCCGTGATGCTCTGGTTGATGCAAAGAGCCAGAGTTGGTTGCCATGAGTCAGGAGAGCACTCTCCAGGAGAGAAGGATGCAGGAACCTGACCCATGCTACCCTCAGAAAGTTCCAGGGCAGGGGGCTGCTCAGGATGTAAATCAGAGCAGGTACGGACAGATGGATTTCCACTGCTAGTGCTTCCAGGCAGCCTAAAAAGGCCTTTAAAACAAGGACTGTGCTTAGTCTCACTGATGAGGACAGGGAAAGAAGGCAATTTCCCATTTATTCCAGAGACATGGACACCCACAGTCATGGAAAAACACTTCTGCCCTCCTCCATATGGGCCACTGGGCCACTGAGGGAGCAGGAGTTTAGGGTTACAGCACAGGAAAGCCACAAGGCAGATCTTCATCTGGGTGTAAATCCGCACTATCTCTTCCAGGGAGAATAACGCCAGCTCGGTTTGCACCCGCTGAGGATCTAATTGGCATTTGGCTCTGGCTGCAAAATTAGGATTGCTTCATCATTGTGCTTCTGATCCTGTATCACGGGAATTGATGAGGAATTTGATTACAGGCTCCTACTGGGATTTGCAGCCCAAGCCTGGGGACATTAATCATTGAAATTGTGACTGGGGGGTACCGAGAACTGGCTGGGAGTTTCAGCTCACTTTTCCACAGAAACTGGAAGCCAAGCCTATGTGGTCTGCAACAGTTTAATTACGAATGAAATTTCACTTGGAAAAGAAAACAGGCCTGAGAGTTGATGCCGTTTTGCCACTGACTTGTGCTCAAGCTCTCCTCTTTTCCTTTCTTCAGCTATAATGGGGGTATGGTGAACCTAACAGCTACCCCGTGGAAGAGAAGAGAGAGATGCCAGTGTGGTTATTCATCTTCTGGCATACTGTGCTTACAGTTGTAGTGAAATCTCATCTGTCCTTGCCTAGGAGGTTGCAGATACATCACATCACTGGCCAATCCCATCTTTCCTCCCAACCAGTCCTGACCAGTGAACCCACTGAAGGTATCTAAACCACATGAACCATTAACTACAGCCAGGCATGAGCTGAGCATGAGCCTGCACCCCTGGGTGCTCTCCATGCCCAGCTCACACAGTTTGTGTGTGATTTCCATGTCATCTACATGGGGTGGGTAGTCTGTGGGATGGATTGCACCCCACAGCTCTCTCCCAGCTAGCATCTGCATTTGAACCCACCCGTTAGGCTCAGATGAATTACTACAAGCTCATTTTGCAATTCAAAACCATGACATAGATGAGCAATGACTCTGGGTCATGACCCACTGATGATAGAAGCGAATCAACACACCAGAGATGAACAAAAGAGAGATTATTATCTCAGTGGTTAATGCAGAGTGCCAAAAATCAGGATTTCCCTCTGGCTCTGTGCTGATTAGCGTGTGACCTCAGGAAAACCTCGTGGCATCTCAGAGCCTCAGTTTCCTCAGCTGCAGTACAGTGATAAGGCTCACTGCAACCTTTCCTTACTGATGAAGAACTGGAGCTTGGAGCACATATGCTCCAAGTTTTTACCCCCAAAACATGAAGTGGAAAGATCCGCTGTTGGTTGCAGCCCTTGAGACTCAGTGGGGCTAAGCAGGATCATACCATCTATGAATGCAAAATCTATCCCTAAGTGGGGGTGTATTGGTTTTGTTTTAATAAAAGACTCTCCAACCTATTTCCAAACTCATGAGACACCTTCTACTGCTAGTAAAACAAGAAACTTCAATGAATTTCTTTATGCTAGCAGCAGACTCATAAGCAGACCAGCAAATATGGTATGTGCTTCCAAGTTCTGTCTCATGGATATACACAAGTTACATCCTTTTCCATCATTTTGTTGATTAATAGGCATAATATC